ATGTCCTCCCGACGTGAAAGGCGCTATAAAATGTAATGTTGTTGTTGTTGTTGTACTTTATGGATTAACTGTGGTCTTTACTATTTAAATGATTGTAATACTTACTGTTTGAATAACTGAGGGTTTTACTAAATGACTAATTGTGGTCTTTACTGTATGAACTAAATGTAGGCTGCATTTCCGTCAGATGTGAAGTAGATGTGAATGCATTGTATTTTGCAGTTTTACTTGTCAGTGTGTAGGGAGGAGAAAATAGCTCCATCAACAATCACTCCTTAAAAATTACCTGCAGATTCTGGTGGCCTCTCATTTGTCAGTAAGATTGCCTCATGTGAGGTCCAAGCACAGTGTATCCGACCAAGACGAACATCCACCATCCTTGATAATAATAATAATCCTTGTAATTACTATAGCGCCTTTCACATTAGGAAGATGTCCCAAAGCGCTTCTGCTCTGAACAGTGAGACAACCTACTCCCTTTGGGTTGGCAAACAGGACATCATGCAAGTATCTTGAGATCTCCTGGGCTGAAGAGCATCATTTACTCATACCTCTCTTGTGATTTTGTGACCATATTTACATGTAAAGGTACAGACTACAATTACAATTAACTACAATTAATCCATGGCAAAGGTACATTATTTATAAAATATAGAATACAAAATCACTCACAGCAGTATCGTGGAGTCCTGTAGCTCAGTGGTTAGAGCACTCGCTTTGCAAGCGAGAGACCTGAGTTCAATTCCAGGCAGGGCGAAACCTTGGGCAAGTTTCCTTACTCCACACGCCTAATAATAATCCCTCCAAAACCAAAAACAATAATAAAATTGGCATTTTCAATCTGCGACTGTTTGTGGGACATTGCTGTGCGCAATTGGCTGCCGCGTTCGCCCACAAATATACAGTCAATTCACTTTACAGTGTGTTCTGTGAAGCGCTTTGGGACGTCCTTCCGACGTGAAAAGCGCTATATCAAATGCAAGGATTATTATTATTATTATTATTATTGTAGTAGAACAATCATAATATGATGATAAAATCGAGCAAAAAACCCATCGGTATTTATACCATAAGCGTTTTTTAATGATGTGCTGATACTATGCAAAATTATTCAAATGTTTCACAAAAAAACTATTCTGAATAATACCTCTTTTATTCCTTTACAGTTTTTTTACGATGACAGTCTATTGAGACCGGCCAAGTCAGTCAATTGGATTGATTATTGAAGTATATATAAACCACAATTGCTGGAATAGAGGCTTCACATATCATCGACTACTGCTGGATTCTGGGTCAAATGAAAGTGATGGGATGTCATTGTCCACTGGTCTTTTGAATTTTCCTTGAACACACAAATTTTAAAGCTATTCAATTGACTTCTTTTCTCACTCTACCAGTACCTTGTACAGGAGAAAAGGCACTTTTTAAGTCAAATGATTCTGCACCAGGTTATGAACAAAATTAATTTTCAGATACTGCTTCCAGTCTGCTTATAATTTCTATTCATAAAAATAGAAAATTTCTATTTCTAAAAATAGAATTCCAGAAACAAAGAAAAATGTTACATTCTCCACTTGAAAAGGAGCTTCATCTCCTTGTCTTACTGATGATTGATTCTCTGGGAAATGGAGAGGGTAAAATTTCTAGCCGTTCATGATGTGATAATTTTATTGACTGCATTATGAAATGTTACAAATTTAACCGCAAGCCTTATTCTAGTGAGTGGAAATATTTGCAGGCAGTGACACTTTTACTGTGAGAGAATGTTGCTGTATGCTTTGTGGATTATTCCTTTGTGACCTTGTTATGAAGCAAGCAAGCTTTTTTTTAAAAGGTTCCACATTGTGTATATACGTGTTACTTTAATAAAAATGGTAGCATGTTTAAGTGGCTTGACTTTAAAGGCATGCCTTATGCCTTTGGATCTTCATGTTGAGTGAAAAAGTATTTCAAGAGACGTGAGGCATTCCACTTTTATTAGTTTCATCAAGTGCGACAGGGAGCCTGACCTAGTTTATTATTTTGAAACTATATATATATATATATATCCAGTTCATTGTAGAGTTTGGAAGTATTATACTGTTGTGGCACTGAGGAAGTATGGATGCTTTTCTCCATTCCTTTGGTCATTCAATACAACACTTGTTTATTCTACGGCTCGATGCTGTAGGACTCTTCTTGTATCGGTTTTATTTCTTAGTGCACTCCTAGATCCATAACATAAATGAGCCATTAATTTCCACTGTTTTAACTGTTACATGTTTAAGATGTTTCAAATGTGTCAATTTTCCAGTGTTTATAACTCATTTGAAATTCTATAGGGTATAAATAAAGTTCACTAAAAACTTCATTTTCTTTTCTCATTTTAAAACCTCATCCCACCGTTGCTATAATAATAATCTTTGCTTTTGATATAGCACTTTTCACATCTTCTAAAGGTGGTAAAGTTGGACAAACTCTAATTTAATGCATGTTTATCCACTTTGAGATGTCCTCCCAACATGAAAGACACTATGCCTGATAATAATCCCTCAAGAAAAAAAACAATAATAAAATTGGTCACTTCTTTTCTGACTGGAGGCAAGTGTACAGTGGTGTCCCCCAGGGATCGGTATTAGGACCACTACTCTTCTTAATATACATAAATGATCTGGACTTGGGTATACCAAGTACCATTTCCAAGTTTGCGTCCGACACAAAGTTAGGTAGGGTGGTAAACAGTGAGAAGGATAGGAGCCAACTGCAGGAAGACATAGACAGAATGGTAAAATGGGCAGATACATGGCAGATGAGTTTCAATGTGGAGAAATACGAGGTAATGCATTTTGGTAGAAAGAATGAGGGGAGGCAATACAGGCTGGTAATACAATCTTAAGGGGGTTAAAAGAACAGAGAGATCTGGGGGTGCAGGTAAATGAATCTTTGAAATTGGCAAGACAGGTAATTAAAGCTGTAAAAAGGGCATACAGGATATTTTGGCTTTATAAATAGGGGCATAGAGTACAAGAGTCAGGAGGTTATGATTAACCTATATAAAACACTGGTTAGGCCTCAGTTAGAATACTGCGCCCAGTTCTGGGAACCACACTATAGGAAGGATGTTAAGGCATTGGAAAGGGTGCAGAGATTTACAAGAATGGTACCAGGAATGAGGGACCTTGATTATGAGGAAGGGCTAGAGAGGCTGGGATTATTCTCATTGGGGCAGAGAAGGTTACGAGGAGACCTAGTAGAGGTCTTCAAAATCATGAGGGGATTTGATAGGTTGGAAAGGGAAAAACTATTTCCACTGGTGGGTGTGTCGGTGACTCAAGTTCACAGATTTGAAATAGTCTCTAAAAGAAGCAGAGGGGAGGTGAGAAGAAATTTTTTGACACAGCGAGTTGTTTGAATCTGGAATGCATTGCCTGAAAGGGTGGTCGAGGCCGATTTGATAACAACTTTTAAAAACGCGGTGGATGGGTATTTGAAGAGGACGGGTTTGCAGGGTTATGGGGGAAAAGGGCTGGGGAGTGGGATTGACATTGCATTGCTCTTTTCAAAGAGCCGGCACAAACTCGATGGGCCGAATAGCCTCTTTTTGTGCTGTACAATTCTCTGATTCTATGATTCAATCCACGACTGTTTGTGGGACACTGCTGTGCGCAATTGGCTGCCACATTTCATCCACAAATAGACAGTCAATTCACTTTACAGCATATTCTGTGAAGCGCTTTAAGACATCTAGGAGACGTGAAAAGCGCTATATCAAATGTAAGGATTATTATCATTATTGCATAAATGTAAATTGCATTGCATCTTCAACAGGAGGAATAGGATAAACTCATTCATTTTTGAAATGTTTCATTGGGCAGTATAGAACTGCTCCGGGTGCAACTTTACGGACAGTGGCGGAGCCAATGAGGAAAGTAACATGAATTGTTTTAAGATCTGCAGAGAAATATCTTCCAAACCAAGACTTTCAGAATTTAAGAATTTTTCAAACAAATCTGCACAACCTTACATTTTATGACATTGGAGTAGAACTTCCACTTGGGTCTCTATTTTCTTTCCATTTCAAAACTTACAGAATTTGGCAAATTTCTTAGTCTTAATTTTGAAGCCTAGTTTTCTGTAAGTTGTTTTCCAAGTTTTTGCTTGGTTTAATTTACAGAAGTACCACAACGCACTCTCTGTTCCCTCCAAGCCTTGGCTCTTTCCAACCTTCACCTAATACCTTCCAGAATTAGCTAAGTATACAATACAAAATTCATAGTATCGTAGAATCATACAGCACAGAAGGAGGCTATTCAGCCCATCGTGTCCATGCCGGCTCTTTGAAAGGTGTCCAAATGAATCCTACTCACCCGCTCTCTCCCCGTAGCCCTGCAAATTTATCCACCCCAAATAACTATATTCTTTTCTCTTGAAAGTTGTTATCAAATCGTCTTCCACCAACCGCCCTTTCAGGCAATGCATTCCAGATCCAAACTCGCTGTTTGAAAGTAGAGTGAATTTCTGTGGGGAGACAGTGCACACTCCATTCCAGACACAGGGAAATTTCCATGCTGAGGTGGCATGAATTTGCAGAATTCTCCATTGTTTGGATACCCTTAAAGCATGGTGTTAGGTTTCCATTTGTGTCAGATACCCACCTAACCAAAAGAAAATAACAAACTCTCATCTTCTCAACACTGGGGAGAGAAAATAACAAATAACAATTCACATTTATATAACGCCTTACAAAGCACTTCACCAAGCTGACTGGGAACGTGAGCTGAATGCGGGAGTTGGGGAAGGGAGGGAAAATGACCGAAAGGTGCGGGCAAAAGGAGCATTTTGTAATTAGGGGGGGAAAGTGGAGAGACTCTGGGAAGTTCAGGGGACCTAAAGTACGCTGAGCGAATAGACAATAATCCAAAGAACATTTTAATCAGACATCAATTCAATTGATACTGCTGAAGCTGGATAAAAAAAGGTTTGCATGTGCAGCTTATGTCAACTGAAGGAAGTTTGAAAACTTTTCAACTCAATACATATTTTATAGTTTTATTAAACTTACGGCCTATTAACAATGAGTTACTGATCCAAGGAAGAATCATATATTTTCAGTACTATAATAGAGTGCAATATACAGAGTACATAACGACAACACGTTCCCTGAAAAGAATGCTTTTTAATCAAATCATTTCTGTTAAAATCCCAAAATGATTTCTATTTTATTGCATTTGACTTGTGATGTGATGAGATTACTTTTTCACAGCTGATATTTTCAAAGGACTTGTAACAAGATTGCTACATTCCCCATAAAGGATACAAGATTTTCAATACACCGAGTGAGTTTGGTATAAGGAGCACATCTTTGCAGTGTTGAATTTAAACTCTCCGATGCTTCCTCATTGTTCTCCAACCTAACCCCTTGTGATAGTTGTTGGAGGAGGTCAAAACAGATTTAAGCCACTTTGTTACAGCCTGGTATTTGCAACAAATTGAAAATAGCAAACCGGAAAAGAGCTGCAACAGAACCGCTGGCAAACACCTCCAGAAACAGAGCATCAAAGTTAAACACCTAAACGGCGCAATACTTGAGGAAAGCACCTTCAATAAACCACCTTCACAACAGAAACTTATACATCAATTTGTCACAATTCAGTTGAAACAACAGTACTCCTGTATCATTTTCACCCACAAAATACACAGTCAATTCACTTAACAGTATATTCTGTGAAGTGCTTTGAGACGTCTCGAAGACGTGATAAGGCGCTATGGATTGCAAGAATTCTTCTTCTTCTTATTATTATTATTATTATTAACAAATGCAAGGATTCTTATTATCAACATCCCAATTAATTTAATTGAACATTAAAAGGTTTTTCCATATAGACAGTATTTTAAAATTAAGGTGCACTCTAAAACTATCAGTATTTATTAACATTATTAACATGACAGGCAAATTAAGTAAATCAGATCTGTCTTTTAAGCCAGTCAGTGTACTGTTAAAGGTAGGTTTCATTCTGGAAGTACTGGCTAATCTTTTTTGGTGGGAATTTTGTGGTGGGATCAGCAGTTGTGACTTGGATTCAGTTGTTCATCAGGAATATGACAATCATCACAGATGGAATTTCAGAGATTTGCATTTCTTCTAACCCAGTGTTTTATCAGCTGGTGTGAAATCGCTTGACTGGGAGGCAGAAGGAACGAATAATCTTGCTTATTGAGGACAGCAGTGACCTGTGATAAAAAAAAATCATTTGTTTATCACTGAAGTGATTAAAGGTTTTATGGAAAATATTCATTAAAATATTTAGCATTGATATTTTCAAAATAGCAAAACAAACATAGAGATGGAATATTCCAGTTGTCACAAATTCAATTCTATTTCTAATATCTCTGAAAACAATTAAGAGCTATTGTAGAAGCTTGTCATAAAACCGCTGTTACGACAACAACAACTTGCATTTATATAGCACCCTTCACCCAGCTTTGCTTACAAGATGGGTGTCCATGTGGACATGTGTCTGGCTTCCTGCTCACTAAAGTTGACTGATTTCTGGCTCATGATGTCACTTGTGACATTGATGGTGACTTGACATCCCTGAAGTTTTCTGCATACAAGCGTAGTGATGCAATTGGTTATGTGATTGATTATATGCATCCCAACCCTGGTGTTATAACGGAGTTCTACTGAAGGCTGCAATGTTATTGGGGTTCTGTTGTGGTTCCAATTTACCAAGTTAGATTCATACTTCCCGTTCTCCCTTCTGCCCTACTCGAGGTCCAAACCCAGTATTGGTAAGTGTTCCGAGATGGTATCCTACGTGAAAGAATCAATCATAGAATGTTACAGCACAGAAGGAGGCCATTCGGCCCATCGTATCTGTGCGGGCTCTTTGGAAGAGTTCCCCAATCAGTCCCACTCCCCCGGTACATAAATACATGTTGCTGTTGTTGTTCTAAAATATAAAATGCACAACTCATTTGACACAACGTATTGAATCTGGAAAAACATTAGGATGCAGATAAAAATAAACACCCACTCAACTTTTCTATGTTCAAATTGAGAGTTATATGTCATACGTGTAAACTGAACTCGCTGTAGCATTCACAAAACCCAAGTCAAACCCATTTCAAAAAATGTAGGTTGGCAGTAAAATATACCTCTCAATAGCACCAACTTACATCCCCCACCTCGGCAATTTTCTGCAAAATTTGTCAAATTTCCCTACAATTTTTCCACAATTGGCAAATATTTCCACAATTGGCCATGGCAGCTTGACTTGTGAGTATTTCTCTTCCTTAGAGATTAAATTGAGAGGCAAACATTTACAATAGTGCAACAGGTTGGACATGGGCGGTTGGAAGCAGCTGACTTGTCCTTCCTCAAACCACAAAGTATAATTGGAATAATCAGGACTAAGAGAACAGCACAGGAAAGATGCACGAGCAGCAGTCTAAGAGTGTAAGAACATCTCGACTGTACCTGGAACCGAGTGAACCAGTGAGCCTCTTCAATTTCCTTCTCATCTACAGAAATCTCTGCTGACACAGCAACAGCAAAACAGCCAATCATGAGTGAAGAAGGCATAGGCCAGGGCTGGCAGGAGAAATATTGAACATGCCCAACTCTGATGCCACTTTCTTCCGCTACCTCTCTCCGAACAGCGTCTTCTATAGTCTCACCTGGTGAAATATAGGACTTGAAAGTGCTTTGCAAAAATGTTATAAAGGATCTCTTCTTCCGTGATTTCTGCCTGTGCCTGTTAAATTAGTTTAATAAATTTAACATTTACCAATCTGTGTCCCTCTGCACCAACCAGCCTGAATAATGTGATTAGAAATGTGTTGTGTGGAGACTTTAATATTAAGCCTACTTGTATTTTAATAGAGATTTGGAGATCAGTGATAGAATTAGAGCATATGTGTTGAGTTTCCATGAGAGTATCATTCACAAATATAAAAGGCCATATTAAAAAAAACTCAGAATTAAGGCAATTTCCAATTTAAAAAAATTACAACACATATTGGCTATATAACTGAATTGTACTTGATCTGATTAGCCTAGATCTGAGTGGTTCTGAAAGGTCCAGTCCCAATACAGTAGAACTGCATCAATGTACCAGACCAGACCAAAAAGTCAATAGTATCATTTTTCACAGGTTTATTATCCCATATTGCTTTCATAAAGTCATCCTAAAATAATAATATTGATTTCTCTCAAACCATGACTAAACTATGTCTTACCTGGTTCAATAAATCCTGCCAGACAGGAGAACAGTCCAGGAGGATAGCGTTTCTGTCTTCCTAGAAGGCACTTATCTCCATCAGGATGAATGACTAGCATTATTACAACTGGATCTGCAGAACATTAAAGTCCCCTTTTACAATGTTATTAAGTCCATTCATTGGTTAACATTGATAAATACTGGTAGGTGATGGCTGTTGTTAATTTATAAATCCAGATTAATACATCAAACATAATGTTCAACAGTTTATGAGTACCTAATCTGCCTTTTGTCTAACAATATAAAAAATGTGACCAGAGAGAGTAGGAAGACAGCCTTGGGATGGTCCAATTTTATACACATGGTCCCTCTACAGGTGTTATGGCACATAACAAACGGAAATAGAAAGCAATGGACTATGGTCTTCCAATAGCTTATTCATGCCTTTAACTACCCAAAGGCACGTTCCCAACTGTGGCGATACTGTAAGTGAATTCGAAGACTTCTAAATTCAGATTGTGCATCTTGTAGGATGTTTTGCCCACAAAATATACAGTCAATTCACTTTACAGTATATTCTGTGAAGAGCTTGGAGACATCTCAAAGATGTGATAATAATAGTAATAATAATCCTTGCATTTGATATAGCGCTTTTCACGTCGGGAAGACGTCCCAAAGCGCTTCACAGAACACGCTGTAAAGTGAATTGACTGTATATATGTAGGCGAACGCGGCAGCCAATTGCGCACAGCAATGTCCCACAACCAGTTGTAGATTGAAAATGACCAATTTCTTATTGTTTTTGGTTTTGGAGGGATTATTATTAGGTGTGTGGTGTAAGGAAACTTGCCCAAGGTTTTGCCCTGCCTGGAATTGAACTCAGGTGCTCTAAACACTGAGCTACAGGACTCCCTCCACAAGGCGCTATAAAAAATGCAAGGTTTATTATTATTATAAATTACTATTCTGGAACACTTTCACAGTAAATTTGTTTGTGCAGGACCAGATTGCTGCACATTTAAATTTATCGCCAGTTCTTCTGCATATCTGAAGCAGAAGGAGATGGTTCTTGCTATTACTGAGGCTAAGGTTTTTCTCTCTCTTTGGTTATTCTAGCTTTGAAAAGAAAGCTGCAAACATTCATTGAGCTCATTGTGCAACACAAAGCCAATTCAGATGTTGAAGGTGGAGACTGAGATGAAGTGCTAGAATGTAACAGTACTGTTCTTGTGAAAGGAGCCTTCCTTTTCTTTGCACTGTACGCCAATAAGCGAAATCCTCTGGTAAAAGAGCCCTTTTAGTGTTCATATTTTTTCTAAAAAGACGATCTTCACAAAATTAGCGATCAAAGTGTGGCTGGGGATTGGAGCAAGGTCAGAACTGAGTCAGTACCAGCTGAGAATGGAGTGGAGGTGACTGAGTGCACAAGACACATAGTGCACCAATACTTTTGTTGCATAAATTGCTCTATTTTCAGTGTGTTAAGGATCTCTCTCAGGAGCTGGATGACCGAAATTCAGTGGAAGAGGGAGAAATAAGCCGACAAGTCATGGATCCATGGTAGCACGCCAGTTAGGCAATATCATATCCCACTCTTCTCTGAAAATGACAAGTTAGTGTTTCATTAAAACACACAATTAAATGGTAGACATATTAGTACCAAGGCAAGATTATTCACTTTGTTACTATATGCAGTATGTACTTTGTGTTAGATTATGGAGCGAGTTGTGGCTGAGTTGCTGTGCAGCTTTCTCGTACCTACTCGTGGATAGCAGGTATTATGTATCCCCTGGAGGCTGGGACAGTCCTCCTTCAAACATGTCCTCTTGTAACCAGCCTCTTCAACTTTTGTATTGCTTCCACAGGTTGGACAGAACTTGTACCGACTGTGCCAGGCGAGGACAGACCTGGCTTGAGCCACCACACCTAAAACATAAAAGCGTTTGGTTTTTGCTTTAACATATATGGAGAGAAGTTCCACATGGGTCTAATTATATAAGATTTCAAAGCATTCAGAATTTGACAAAATGTTAAAAACAGTCTCAATTTTGAAGCCTGTTTTATGTAGGTTCTTTTAAGAAGCACAGAAAAAAGACTTCAAGGTTTAGAGTGAATTTCCCAAATGCTACAGAAATAGAGTTAATATAGGCCCCGTATTTGAGAAGATAAGGGAATTTCTTCCGGGTCCTTCAATAGAAAAAGTCATCCAGAAAAATGATAATTCCCTTCATGGATAACATTGCAGCGTACAAATTAACTGTCGCGTTTGTTTACAAATGTACAGGCACTACACTTTACAGAAACTTTGTGAAGCACTTTTGAGACATTCTTGCTGTTAAAGGCACTCTATTGAATTATAACAAAAGGACACTAATCCTGGCATTTGATATCGTCCCTTTAATGATGACTCAAAAAGCTTTACAGGGTTTTCTGTAAAGTCCGGTAACTGTGTATTTTTTTGTAGGCGAACGTGGCAGCCAAATTGAGGACAGCATTGGCTTCACTGGGACAAACACCCTTCTCTTTTCAAAAGTGCCCTGGGATGTTTAATGTCCACCTGCGCAGGTAGACAGGGCGTCATTTTAACAACCAATAATAGTACAGGGTTTCCCCAGCACACTATTGGAGTGTCAGCCTAGACTATATAAATAATCCTTGCATTTGATATAGCGCTTTTCACGTCGGGAGGACATTCCAAAGCGCTTCACAGAACACATTGTAAAGTGAATTGACTGTATATTTGTGGGCGAACGCGGCAGCCAATTGCGTACAGCAATGTCCCACAAACAGTCGTAGATTGAAAATGACCAATTTATTATTGTTTTTTGTTTTGGAGGCATTATTATTAGGCGTGTGGAGTAAGGAAACTTGCCCAAGGTTTCGCCCTGCCTGGAATTGAACTCAGGTCTCTCGCTTGCAAAGTGGGTGCTCTAACCACTCAGCTACAGGACTCCGTAAGTAGTTACCTAATGACCCAAGATTCATCTTTAGTGCAGGAGGCCAGCTAATCCAGTGTAGGAACCTGGGTGTGCTATGCTTAAACAACAACAAATTACATTTGTAAAGCGCCTTTCATGTCGAGAGGACCTCAGGTTAGTGTAGACCATAGCCATGCCTGTGCTCTACCGAAGGATGTTCAAACACTGCTACAGATTTTAAAATGCATTTAACTGCAAGAAGCTGGTCATAGCAAACAATGATAAAGACTGCAGAGCATATTAGTATAATGACTGCGATGAATCACAAATTGGACAGGACTAAGTTGACCATTAAAACAGGGCACTCCAAATCTATGCGATTGAAGATAATTTACAAGGGCATAATTTATACGAAGTATTGGATTGGTGACACATAAAATCTCTGATACTGTTCATTTTCAACCTATAAATGTCAAATGTTTCCATGAAGGTCCGAGCTTATGAATATTTTACCCTCACTCTTTCTAAAACTATATTTTTCTGCTCTTCAAAGATGGTAACAAATGGAAGAGGTGGAACTGCAATGACTTTCAAAAAAATAGCTGAAAAGAAACACGATACAGAGTTTTAAAATCCTGGAGAGAAATGGATAAAGTAGACCCAAGCAGAATATTTCATTTGGGCTCAGAGCACAGAAACAAAGGGCATGAAGTGGCCATTATTATTAAGTCATGAATAAAAAGTCATGAAAAAAAAGAATTCCTTCCACAATAGCTATGAATATGTGGAATAGTTCTGCAGATATGTGGTGTGGAAATAAGGCAGCGGGATTGAATGAACAATCTGCTCTGAGAATTGGTAATATATTATAATCCTTGCAATTGATATAGCGCTTTTCACGTCTTCTCAAGTCTCAAAGCGCTTCACAGAATAGGCTGTAAAGTGAATTGATCGTATATTTGTGGGCGAATTGTGGTACAGATTCAAAGGGTCGAATGGACTGTTTCTATGCTGTAAATTTCTACGATTCTATACAATGTGCCTTCAGTCACACATCCTACTTTCCCCCCACCTGCCCTCCAACCCTCCTGATCCCAACCACCAGCTCAGGTGTGGATTCCTGACTGCCCAGCACCTATGGACATCCTCATGACGTGAAAGGCTGTACAAATGTAATTTGTTGTTCTTATGGCACTATTTGAAAAGACAAGTTTCTCCCAATGTCCTGCCCAACAATCCCCCCAAATAAAATTGATCATTCACTCCAAGATTGTTTGTGGGACATTGCTGTGTGCAAATTGGCTGCTGTGTTTCACTCCAAAAGTACACAAATCAATCCATTTAACAGTATATCTTTGAAACGCTTTGAGACATCTCAATGATATGTTAAGGCGCTATATCAAATGCAGGAATTATTATTTTTTATTATAATAATAAATACAATTATGATAGGTCAAAAGATTATAATAAATAATGCTTGCATTTGAACCCGCCCCTTTCACTTCGAGAGCAAATCTCCAAGTGCATCTGAAACATGATTTTACTGTAAAGTGTAGTGACTGTGCATTTTGAATGCAGCAATCTGCACACAGCACTATAACATACTAAAAAAAAGCTGGATGCATATGTGACTAGGAATAACAACCACAACAAAATTACATTTGTATAGCGCCTTTCATGCCGGGAGGACGTCCCAAGATGCTGGACAGAGTTACGGACCTGAGCTGAGGGTTGGGGTGGTGGGGTGAAAGCAGGGAGATTGAAAGCACAGTCGAAGAGGAGGGACTTGAGGTGGGTCTTGAAGGTGGCGAGGGAGGGGGCGAGATGGAGGGACTGCGGGATGGAGTTCCAGAGGGTGGGTGCAGAGTGGCAGAAGGCCCGCCCGCCAATAGTGGGGCGAGCAAGGCGGGGGAGGTAAAGCAGGCCGGAGCCCGATGAGGCGGAGGGAGCGAACAGGGTGGTAGGGGCTAGGAGGTCGGAGAGGTAGGGAGGAGCAAGACTGTGGAGGGCTTTGAAAGTGAGGACCAGGATCTTGAACTGTATCCTCTGTGTAATATCCCCTTTGTTTCTAACTCCTGTTTAAAATAATCAATTCGCTCTGCTTGAACAACGATTTGTGGTAGAGAATTCCACATTCTGTGGAAAGATTTTTTTTCTAACCTCTTGTTTAATTCTTTCTGCGATTAACCTTGCTCACATTGCTAGTTAGGCCCAGGCCTGCAGTGCAGTGTCCAACTGGTCTTGTACTCACCAGCTTCCTCTGTGTTTAGCTCCAACAGACGTGGCATGAGAGGCTGGAGAAAAAAACAGTCTGGGTGTTTGCTATGAAAGTGTTCTGCAACAGCATTATCCACGTTGATTGCAAACCAAGCAACGAGTCCGTCATCGATTTCCATATTACTGTCTGACACAGATTTTGTACAAGACTTAATGTTGCTCGTCTGCAGCTCAGTTCCAAGAAAAATCGGAGTAGCTTCCATTTTGACCAAGAATTTCTCCACCTCTTCATGTCGCACTCTGCAGAGGCAAATGCCTCTCTTTGTGGATTCCCCAAGCTGGCTTGAAGTAACCAGAGGGTTTAAGTTGGAAAACAGAATGTAAACTGTGGCTGAATGAGTCTCCTTGGCCTTTAACCATTCTGAATCGGTTCTCTTCTCACTCAACCGGTTCAGGAAGGTTCTGTTGAAGAAATTGTGAAACTCTTCCGGACCACCTGAAGCATTCAACAACAAATCGACGATGTGGTTGTGTCCCCAGAATTTGGCAATGTCCAGTGCAGTTTGACCTGAATTATTTGAAATTGAGCTGTCACAGCTAGAAAAAGACAAGAATTAAGAGCACAAATGGTGTTTCGACAGGACTCAAACTCTAAGCTGTTGAAACCATGAATAATAATAATCCTTGCATTTAATATAACGACTTATCGCCTTGTCGAGACGTCTCAGAGAGCTTCACAGGATATACTGTCAAGTGGATTGACTGTGTATTTTGTAGGCAAACACAGTAGCCAGTTAGTTGCACACAGCAATGTCCCAATGGAGTGAGTGATCAATTTTATTTGGGGAATTTATTGGCTGGGACAATGGGAGAGATCCCCTTCTCTTTTCGATTTGTGCACGAGGATCTTCAACGTTCACCTGAACAGGCAGATGGGATCTTGGTTTAACATCTCATCCGAAGGGTGGAATATTCAACTACAAATACACATGGTCGCTCCAATTATGTGTCACCCAGGCTCGGTCGTAGCAACAAAATGGTTACAAGTATATCCCGTGAAGCTCTTTGAGACGTCTCGATGATGTGATAAGGAACTCTACCAAATGCAAGGATTATTATTATTATTATCATTATTGACTCCAAACCAAAGTCTAAACATTTCAATGAGAAAGCTAAAGACTAAACAGTTTCACCTTGGGTTGTCTTCTGTGCAGTACATACTTGACCAAAGATCTTTTAATAAATTACATTGTAAGCAACAAGTTGCTGTCGTATGGTAGGTCGGTATTGAGGGTGGATAGCTTGCTGGCAGCCTGAGAAAGTAGGTGGAACCTTTTAATCATACGTCTCTTCTGAATCACAAGAGTTTGTAACTTTTTCAAAAACTATTTTCTGGAGAACAAAAGACTCAGAAAGATTATACAAACACTGGATTGGAAGTTCGGTAATATGACAAAATCAGAACCTTAAATAAAAAACATTGCTGCAAGTTTTTGATCACATTAATAAATGTGACTTTCCACACTACTGCCTTTTCACACTGACGCCCTTTCACATTGGTGCCCTTTCATACTGCATGATTCTCTCTCCAGTCCCTGAGAGTCACTTTGTAATAGGTAATCGTGTGAGGTGGGATGTCGATTTGTTTTGTGTCCCTCAAATGAACATTGAAGACACCTGAGCAAACCATCAAAAGTCAAGAAAAGTACCTATATATAATTGAATTTTTACCATCAGACCCACATTTTGCACATTTTGCCTGAGAATAAATTGAATCAAAATAGAGCATTTTTTAAAAGGTATTTCTACTTTACAACACATTACTGAATGCATAAATTTCATATAGTCATATGCCTTGGAGAGCAGAGGAGCCAGTAGTGACAGGATGAGAATTTATTTCACTCCTATTGAAAAATGACACTGCACTGGAAAACATAATGAGGACTCAAATAAGTTCTGATAAAATGCATATAACAAGACTGCATTAAAATTAAGATAAGAAAATGCAATGTCAAATCCCCTTATTCATATTCAAATATGTCAGGCCATAAAATGCAATGTAAAAAGGCCATTATTTCAGCACTAAGTGAAACAGATTTCAATTACCCATTCAGCAGCTCTTCACTGTAACACTGCACTGCTCTGGTATAACAGATATAGGTTGAATCACCGACTAAATAAGAAACCATGTGCAACTCCCTCCATAATGCACCTCTCATGATTCTGGGACACTGATGCAGCCCATGCAATGCTCCTAAGTATGGCTATAAATTCCATACATGTTAGTGTGCAATAGAACTGATGTATCTGTGCAATAAAAATGCTGACATGAGCCAGTTTTAAATTATTATTATTAATTGTTGTAGAGTTATTAACAAAAGCAAACTCTCCTTTGGAAACATGTGTGGACATATTAAATCAATTGCTGCCACAGGACAATGGTGTGGTTTTGTGTACTGCAAAAGCAGCAGAGCACCAATTGAACTTCATGTCAAGTTAGGTATAATAGCATTACAATGGGATAATGGTGAGTGGAGAGGTATTTGACAGAGAGTCAGTTGTTAGTGATGTACACGGGAGTCAATACTGAAACCACTATTATTTATAAATATTATAAATATTGGAATGGTAAAACTAAAGTATGGAACCACTATTATTGGAGACTGGAACACTGTCAAAGTAATGTAGTGGCGGCTGGTGAGCTTTTTGACAGGTGAGGCACACTTCCTTAGGCAATCTGAGTTTGCCTGACCAAGCTATTTTGTTACCAAGGTAATCGTAATATGCGCACACACAATGTCTTGGCATTTTGCCTCCTGGCCTTGCTCCCGCTGAGAGGCCTGGGAATTCTAGGGAGGCCTCACTTGCCTCATCTGACGAGTCGCGACTGGAATGACGGCTTAAATTATTACCAAATGGCAACAATGAGAATCAATGCGTACAAATTCAGAAATGTCTGGTGAGGATGAGTGTGTAGGCAGAGAGATGACAGATGCAGTTTAAAGCAGTGGATTGCGTAAAGGTTTGGCAGAAGAAAGTATAGTGGCTGAATGTAAATGTTTTCGTAGACTGGGGCCATTAAAACCATTGGTACATTGTACCCACATAGTAGAAAATGTAAATATTTTTGAGATGTATGACAAGGATTGATGTGACAGTGGAAAATTTATTTTAAAATTGTGTTTGGCTTTGGTGAGGGCACATCTGGAATACTGTATGGAGCTCACTGTTCACTATCTCACTGTAACAAAGACATTCAGTTGTTATAATAATAATTCTTGCATTGGTTAATAGCTGAAACTGTTGTTACTATGTAATGCACACACTATGAAATGCTAACGGTAAAACCTGGTTCCCCAAAGTAATATTGCACCACCACCACCAACTTGCATTTATATAGCTCCCTTCATGTAGTATACTGTCTCTGAATGCTTGATAGTGACACCAAGCAGGGAAGATCGTGCGGGGGGAGGATAAAATAAGGTGAATTGGAGGGGTAGAAGAGTGGAGGGGGAGCACAGAGGATCGGGTAGGAGGAGATCGGAGAGATGCCAGGAGGTGAAGGGATTTGTAGGTGAGAACAGAAACTCAAGATGTGCTATTACAAGAGAATCTGTTTATGCTTTTCTGACTTCAATTACGAAATGATGAAAGCAATTTCCCAAATAACACAAAAGCCTGATCACATATGGGAAGCTATAATCCCAGCTACAGTGTACCACTTAAATCTCTCTTGGCAATGATTCTGTGTGATTATGAAAACTGTTCAGAAAAGATATCCTCTTTACCCTTTTTCAAGAAGTAACTGGACCACTTCAAAATGTCCATTCCTGCAAGCGTACATCAGGGCACTCCAGCCTTTCTCGCCAATCTCATCTATGAGAGACTCAGAATGATTCATCATCGCAGATAGCTTTGCTACATCTCCTTTGGCTGCAATCTCGTGAAACAGGGAAATCATTCCCTTCATCGGGTTGTTTTCAGCCTCTGCCATCTTTATTTTTTTCAAACTACCAACAAATAAATACAGCCATTAAAATTCATTCAACACAACTACTGTGGGTTGTTGACAACGATCGACAAATATCAACATGATGGAATTTTTTTTCTTTTAAAAAGCATAAACAGTTCAATTTTGATACTGCATTCTACAATAGTTATAGCACTAGTTCACTAATGGCTACGCTGAAAACATTGGATAACTCAGTAGTCTGAGTATCAGACTTGTGACCAAAGTTTCACTATTTCAATGTCAAAGCAGATTTTTAAAAAAAAAACTTCCCTGGTGGAGGAAAGTGGAGTCCTTTATGTGGCTGAAGTGACTGAAGAGACACATCAAGCGAAATCCTTCAGATCCACAGTAATCCAAGGCATTATTGATAGTCAGCCTATTTAGTTGTCAAGCTAATGTCCAATTGGATAGCACGGTCCAAGCTTGAAAATACAATGGTAAAGCTGCGTGGTTGCTAATATTATAAATGCTTCAGTGACATGGTTGAAAAACAGTGCCTCTATCTATTTTTATTTTTAAATATGGCTCTAAAATTGACAATGAGTGCTGTATAAATGTAATGTGTTGTTGTTTATTCTTATAATTCATTTATTATTCAAACCATCTACTGTGTTCCTGGAAATAAAAATATAAAAATTTACAGAAATAATTTATACAGTATCAGCATTTATTGCAAAGCAAAGTACTGTAGCTTAGTGGTTAGAGCGCTCGCCTCGCAAGCGAGAGGACCTGGGTATGATTTTCCGGCAGGTCGAAATGTTAAGCACGCTTCCTACTCTGTTTACCTAGCAGTAAGGAGGAACCTGGTTGTTAGTTGACTGCAGATTGCTTTTCCGGGGGCAATAATCCCTTAAAAAAATGTGTTCACTCAATTCACGACTGTTTGTGGGACACTGCTGTGCGCAATTAGCTGGCACGTTTCACCGACAAAAGATACAGTCAATTCACTTTACAGTATATTTTGTGAAGCACTTTGAGACGTCTCGAAGACGTGAAAAGCACTATATCAAATGCAAGGATCATTATTATTACTTATTAACTTCTCAACAATATGCTAACTGCCTCCACAAATAATTAAAGGCATATTAAAAATATCCCAATTCCTACTGGTTCCCAATCTGACTTAACCTGAATTCCCCCTCCATTTAGTCCCGTTCCTATTCTGCTTTAGCCCACCACCCCTCCCATCTTCAAAATATATATATTTTCAAAGGTACTTCAAAAATCCTGTGTCTGCCCCTACATGCAGTTATCCAGGCACTTTTATAGGATGTGTCAGCATGACTGAATTGGTAGGACTCTTGCCTCTGAGCCAGAAGGTTATGGATTCAAGCCCCGCATCAGGACTTTGACCCAATGTTGTCAGGGCTCACAATCCAATGAGGTGCTGGGAATGTGCTGCATTGCCAGAGGCGACATCCTCCTGATGAGACGATAACTGAGGCCTGAGTGCCTGTTCAAGTACGATGTTGAATGGCACTATTCAAAAAGGGAAGCAAGTTTTTTCTACTCCTAACAACAATTCCCAAATAAAAAAATTAATCATTCACTTCATGGCTGTTTCTGGGTCATTGCTGTGCGCAAACTGTTTGCTGTTTAGCCTACAAAATACACGCAGTAACTGTACTTTACAGTGTGTGCTGTGAAACGCTTTGAGATGTCCCCCTGATACGAAAGGCGCTATAGCAAATCTAAGGATTATTACATATTATTATTTATAACTCTCACCTGAATCACGAGGCCGGATTACGTGAATGAACTCAACGCATCCCGGTGGGGATTGTGACAGTTTTATTCTGTTGCTACATCGTTGTGTTGTCAACAATGGGTGTCAATGAGATGTGTACAGTTGAGTGATGACACTCACAATGAAAGATTTATGTCTGTGCTGCATAATCGCTGTGAATTTAGGGAGTGATGGTTCATTGCCGATAACCAGAAACGTCAGTCTGTGTACATTATACAGATGGTCAAGGGGCAGAGATTTATATATGAGATAAAAGCTGTGACATAAGTGGTTTATTTTGTATACAGCAGCAGTCCCAACATATATCCTACTTTATTTATGCAAGGCTTTTTATTGGAAGGGGGAATTGTTCTAATGAAAGAACAATGTAAGTGTAAATGACTGTACCCGAACCTGAATTAATGACCAACTAGTGCCTATCGTTTTGCCCACAAAATACAGTCAATTCACTTTACAGTATATTCTGTGAAGCACTTTGAGAAATCTTGAAGACGTGAGAAGACGCTATATCAAATACCAGCATTATTATTATCATCTAACATTCGACTATTGTTGATTCCCAGCAGGGCGAAACCATGGATAAGTTTCCTTACTCCACACGCCTGATAATAATCCCTCAAGAAAACGAACAATAATAAAATTGGTCACTTCAATCCACGACTGTTTGGGGGACACTGCTGTGCGCAATGGGCTGCCGCGTTTCGCCCACAAGTATACAGTCAATTCACTTCACAGTATATTCTTTGAAGCACTTTGAGACGCGAGAAGATGCGAAAAGCGCTATATTATTATTACAATGTTCCAGGTGGTGGTGGGTGGGGGGGCGGTGGTAAGCGAGGTCTCCTTTGCACTGAAGGGCCTCTACTGGTGGTCTCGGTAGTCCAGTTCCTGAGATAGATTAGTCTGGAGCACGGCCAGCTCGGCTCATTGACAGGAGTTGGAAGGGCAGAACAGTTACTGGGACGTGGAATTCCTCCACTCAGCTCCTGCTGTAAGCCGAAGCCCTAACGGGTGGAGAGGTCCGAGCCGGACTAGCAGCAGTCTCCAATAGATGGTGCTCACATCACAGGTGTCGGCTAAAGCACACCCAGCGCAGCCCCTTCCCTTTAAGGACATTGAGGGCAGCAGCTGGACCCGGGTCCGGGGCTCAGTCTCTCGCCCCCCACCCCCCCCCCCCACCCCGTGTGACAGCGGCGACACCTCGGTCTGTCTCTCAGTCACTCAGTCACTCACTCAGTCAGTCGGTCAGTCAATCACTCACTCAGTCACTCACTCACTCACTCACTCCGTCAGTCACTCACTCACTCAGTCACTCACTCACTCACTCAGTCAGTCAGTCACTCACTCACTCAGTCACTCACTCACTCAGTCAGTCAGTCAGTCAGTCACTCCGTCAGTCAGTCACTCACTCAGTCACTCCGTCAGTCAGTCACTCACTCACTCAGTCACTCACTCACTCACTCACTCACTCAGTCAGTCAGTCAGTCAGTCAGTCACTCCGTCAGTCAGTCACTCACTCAGTCACTCCGTCAGTCAGTCACTCACTCACTCACTCAGTCAGTCAGTCAGTCAGTCAGTCACTCACTCAGTCACTCCGTCACTCCGTCAGTCAGTCACTCACTCACTCACTCAGTCAGTCAGTCAGTCAGTCAGTCACTCACTCACTCACTCACTCACTCAGTCATTCACTCACTCAGTCAGTCAGTCAGTCAGTCAGTCACTCAGTCACTCACTCACTCAGTTACTCCGTCAGTCAGTCACTCACTCACTCAGTCACTCCGTCAGTCAGTCAGTCACTCAGTCACTCCCTCAGCCACTCACTCGGTCTGTCTGTCTGTCTGTCTGTCAGTCAGTGTCCAGAGTAAACACTCAACCATTTTGTTTGTGAAGGTCGCAGTGATCAAATAACAGAGTGAACTTACAGCGAGTGAGAGGCCGCCCTGCAGCCAGCGACATCTTTAATTTCCTTCGGCTTCTGGCTGTTAGGAGCCTCACACTCACTCACTCACTCACAATCACTCACTCACTCACACACAGGGCCTGTGCAGTGCAGTGCAGTCACTCCCCCTCACACACGCAGGGCCGGTGCGGTGCAGTAACTCCCCTCCCCCCCGAGGTTGGCCTGATTCTGGCTGCTCTGCTCTGTGGGATTTGTAGTTCTTGATTTCCCCCTTTCCCCCCCCACCCCCCGTCCTCTCACATACACTTTCTACACACTGTCTGCTGTCTCGGTTAGCCAGGTGCCTTGCCCCCACTTTGCCTAACCTCGTATGGGTCAAATCCCTCCCCTCTCTCGCCCACCACCCCCACCCCCTGCCCCGGCTCATCTATAATAATAATAATAATAATAATAATCCTTGCATTTGATATAGCGCTTTTCACGTCAGGAGGACGTCCCAAAGCGCTTCACAGAACACACTGTAAAGTGAATTGACTGTATTTTTTTTGTGGGCGAACGCGGCAGCCAATTGCGCACAGCAATGTCCCACAAACAGTCGTAGATTGAAAATGACCAATTTAATTATTGTTTTAGGTTTTTTGGAGGGATTATTATTAGGTGTGTGGAGTAAGGAAACTTGCCCAAGGTTTCGCCCTGACCTGGAATTGAACTCAGGTCTCTCACTTGCAAAGCGAGTGCTCTAACCACTGAGCTACAGGACTCCACAATTGTCCACATCTGCCACATCTGCCATTGTCCAGCGTTCCGAGACACTACCCCACCTGAAGCACGCTTCAGAAATGCAAATTATTGTTGTCAAAAGTTAATTTGCTAAATGAGATAGTCAGCCTTCGCCACCTCGAAACATATTTCTGCTGCTTCATGTCAGAGTATTAATCTTGCAATTGATATAGTCGCCTTCTCATTGGGAGAATGTCTCAAGGCTTTTCAAAGGATTTACTGTAAAGTGCAGTGACTATTTGTTGGTGAACACGGCAGCCAAAGTTACACATAGCAATATCCCACAAACAGCCCATAAACCAAGTGACCAATATTATTTGGGATGTTGTTGGCCAGGACACCGGGAGAAATTCCCTTCTCTTTTTGACTAGTGCTATAGGGTCTTTAACATCTGCCTGAACAGGAAGCAAGACCTCAGTTTTAATACCTCATCCAAATCACGGCACCTCCAACAACACAGTATTGCACTGGAGTGTCAGCCTAAACTTGTGTGTTCAAAGTCCTGAGGTAGGGCTGTTGTCTTAGAGTCAGAGTGCTAGCAAATAACCAACACTGACACACAACAATAATCCCCCTGCCCATGGAGTGATGGCTCCACCAATTTACTGCAGACCAATCAAGGTGGATATCAATCCCTGGATTTATGAACGTGTGTTCACAAACTCGGACTTCAGGTAATGCCTTCCAGCAGCTTCTTGTCGTAAACTATTTGGATAAGGACCTACGCAGGGCAGCTTGTGATGTGTCAGGAACCTTGATGTTCCAGATGTCCAAGTCCCAACAACAACAACTTGCACTTATATAGGGCAAAGGAAACCCTTTGTTTCATGTCCTGGAGCTAAAAACAATGAACAAAACTGTTTGGACACATGTGTTATAAGAAAGAAGCTTAACTTGCATTGGGATGAGAGAGTAAGATCAGGATAATATTTCAGATAGGTCAAGGTAGCAGAATTAGAGGGCACAGGCTTCCTCCTCCAATGTGTTTTCACAACTGTTTTATGAATCCATGGCTAATATTGTGTTCCAGTGTGGAAGATTGATCGTTTCTGTCTCCACTGTATTGAAACGTGCAGCAATTTAATTTCTGTGTGTTATACCTTTCCCAGAATTTCCGACATCCGGAAATCCTCTTTGCCGTGCTTTACTCTAAGGATTCTGGCTTAATGATCCTCCCAAACCTGAGTTGTGCTTCACTCCATTCAGAAAAATGCCTTTTTGCTCCTAATTTTCACCCATTTTGTAGACATTTTAATTTAAATTCAATCCTACTCACTCAATCTTGTTTCCTAAATATAAAAAAGGCTTTCAGTTTGTGAAATTTCCATATTGCATAACTCCTACTTTATAATAATAATAATCCTTGCATTTTATATTCAGATACTCTGTTTTACGTTAAATGCAGCGGGATTATCTTTCCCAAACATAATTTTTTTTAAAAAAGAGCAATGACAGCTGCCAAACATAGACTCAGGACCATTTCTGATCATAAAGGCAGCCAAGCCTTAGCAAAAAAAAACATCAGTGCAAGAACAATTTGCAACAGGCCAGAATATCTATTTAGTATTAGTTTGGATGGGTAAAATAGCTATACATGCTTGTTGATCACTTTGACCAAAAGCAAGTGTTCCAAAAGGCAGTGCTAAATTGGGCATATAGCACAAACTATTAAAGCAACACAAATTATTGGTTGGTCCTGGATACATATAAATGATGGTTTCCCTGGATGCAGATTTTGTGTAATACTGTACATTTATATGTATGTCTTCATGTCTTTTGTTGTTCAGCCACCCTTGCAATGTAACTAGTCAAATGGAAATATTCATAGCTCCCTCTAAATAGGCAATCAAATCGAAATGTACAAACAACTGTTGTAGAAATCACTGCCAGAGGAAAAAAAATGCTCAAAGTGATTTTATTGTAAAGTGGTTTGCTGTGGATGTTTCTCATTGGAAAAGAAATACATGTTATTGAAATGATCCTGTCACTGCCACTTTCTGCTTATTGCCACATTTGTGCCTGGCAAAATTGAATTGACAATGTACGTGTTTTACTATATAAGCTTCTCATTTTTGATTTAACGACATATTATTGACAGGACTTAAATAAGACAAATGAAATATTCTCTTTAATAAATAATGTGATGAAAGAACAATGTAACAGATTCACAAATTGAATAACTTTACTCTGCTCAATTTTGCTGGATTTGATTTTTGGTTATTGAGATGACCTTGACTATAAGTACTTGCAGTCTGCTGTGTGGGAATATGACACCTGAATAAATAGTTTGACGGGAAACAAAAAGCAGTTCATCAATTCTATGAGCACTTGAATTTTACCACCAATTTTGTCAGGGAACTGGTCAGCATTTCTGTGTTACTGCAGGCAACGTTTGCAGCACAATGGGTGAGTACGCTTTTGCTTTTATTTATTTGCAAAAATCCATTTCAGATAACAATAGTGTTTTTAGATTACAGTGTTGTAGTTGGAGCGACACTTTGAATGAAAATCATCGCATTTTTCAGAAAGTAATGCAAAAGTGTTGATTTTGTTTTTCAGTATGAAGTGCAGGTACACATCTGTTTTATCTCAGTAAGGCATTCACAGATGTTTCTTGTTTAGAATGCAATACTTTATGTGTTTTTTTCAGTGCTCGTTTGAACATTACTACTGATAAATATGTTTTGATCAGTCAAATAAAAATGTTGACAACTTTGGATGTTAGAAGAGATGTCCACAATCTAAATGCAATTGATCTGACTGAAAGCAACTCTCTTTCTTCTATCTGTGTATGGAATGCAGGTACTCATTATTACCAGGGGATATTTGTTTCTTATATCTTAATGAGAATAACGGGAAATGAAAAGGGTTCAGAATTGTTAGATAGATGTGTCGAAGGAAAGCAACACATTGAAACATTTTTTATAAGAGCTCCTAGACAGTAGCTTGCGAGAAGGGCGCTATATAAATGCAAGTTGTTGTTGTTGAAAGTGGAAATTAAACAGGAAGATGAGATGGGCCAATCTTCTACTCCTACCTGAAACTGAGTATTACTACTGTATTCCCTTATTCCCAATGCAACATGTTTCAGTTAAGTAACAAAATAATCTGTATTCTGTGGTTGGATTGCATATTTTTGGTTCTTTCTTTCTTTCTTTAGATCAGCCAGGTGTCGACACATAAATTATGCGCCAGACAAACCCACTAACGCGAGACTGGAATCAAACTGAGAATTATACAATCCTAGTCCAATTCGATCTATTTTGTATGTGCCACAAGAGGGCAATTTTTATCCTTTGGTAAAATGTTATTCATGAATAATGAAACTTGTAATTTCATTCACATGGAGGTTTCATCTATTTAAAACATGCTTCACTTTACTGAATTTAGTAGCCAAGTAAAGTGGAAATTCTACCATTTTCGATTGCCTGTGACACCTATAGTACCATAGAAATGTTTATAACCTTAGTCTCCACAAACTATGTGGACAGTATTAAGCATGGATGCTGTGTACGGAGAATTTTGTATTAGATAAGGACAAAGATCACTGATTTTAATGATCCATCCACTGAGGTTCAGGTCATGGTAAGCTATGTGGTTAGACTCCAGCAGAATTACAATGCACACTCAGGGGACCACAAAGCCTTGGCTCTTGCCAACCTGCACCTAATAGTTTCTGGAATTAGGTATGCAGGATGCCTTATTCCAGGTAGAGAGTGTGAATTCCAGTTCAACAATCTTATCTCTGGAGTTCCCATGTGTAGGTGGGATGCATGGAATTCTCAGTTTGGTTTGGATACTCTTAAGCACAGTGATGGGTTTCGAAATGTGTCAGACTCCTGGCTGACCAAAAAAAAGTTTCAGGTTGGAGGTTTGAAGGATTCATTTCACTTGAGGTGAGGAAGAACTTGGCCATTGTCTTTGGGATTTTGTCCTGATTATCATAGGTCTCAGTGCATTTTACACCTAAGCATGAACGCTTTGGAAGGCATTGTCATTCCAGTCATGAAGGATCCCCTGCTGCTGATTGCTGGATATATATATATATATATATATATATATATATATATATAAACATATGGTAGCTTGACAACTTTTGATATGAAAAAATATCGCAGTGATCTTATGCATTAAGGATGGGAATCTGAAACTCACCATACCACAGCAGTGAGAATGAAGCACTGTGATAACCTCCCAAGTAAGACTAAGGGGGAAACATTCCTCCAGCATCTAGATTTAATCTATTTTCTTAGCATTTCAGTCTGCAGAAGTTGGCATACATTCTTGAAATTGATTCAAATTCATTCTTAACTTTGAAACTGATTTTCGGTAGTCCTTGAAAGACTATCTCCACTAAATTGTGATGAAAATGGAAGAATATTTCTCCTCTAAATTGTATTGAAAATTGGAAGGATATTTTCAAAATATTGCAC